TCAAGTGTCACACACACCCAGCATGGCTATCTTTGAACAAGACTGCTTGATCCTTTCGAGCAGTGGAGACGGTATAAAACAGCATCCACAACATTGGAAGGAGGAAGAGGAGAATGATGATGAAGATTTGCCTGTGCACAACCATAATGGCCACACTATTGAAGGCAGTCTCCAACCAGAGCACAGCCCAGGATCAGGATGTTGATGCAGATGATGCCAGACAGGACCCATCCTCCACCATGGTGGGCACTCTCCATCACTGCCTTCACATGGCAAACACTCTCTAACAACCTCCACACCTGGAGAATGGGAAGGACTGGGAAAATGTTGGAATGTTTTCCAGTTGTGCTGCTGTCTTAATGTTGGATAAGTAGGCCTCCATAGGCCTCTACAAAGGACACAAGTCATGATGGTGTGTGTGTGTCTCCCAAAAAAAATAATTATTTATAGATAAGGATCTCAAAAACTCACTGTAAACACACTGCAAGTGTCTTTTTAAAGAATCTTTTTTCAAGGTATTGTATATCTTAAAGTCTGATTTGTTTTTTTCCCATAAAAAAAATTCCTGTTTAAATCCAGATTAATCCAGAATCTATGAATAGGCCTATGCAAATATTTTCCAGTCCAAAGTTTAACTACTAGACTCTTTTAAAAAAAGGCCCATTGTTAGTGTACTTAATTGTGTATTTGAAGTAATAGTAATAGTTCTTTATACTTTATTTACTTTATACTAAATATTGCACTTGATATTGTTGTGGTGGCAGCCCGGCTGACGGTGAGTGTCCTGGTTTTTTTCTCCTTTTTATCAGTTATTCTGCTTTTTCCTTGGTTTTCTGTTCCCTGCCTGCCTCCCTGTGTTTTCTCCCCTGTGTGTGCTCTCTCTCCCTCTGCTCCTGAGCCCAGCCAACGACCTGCACCTCATCAGCCTGCCACACCTGCCAGTAGTCAACCTCATCCCTGCCTGTATTTCAACCCCCGGTTCTCCACACCACTCTTGCTTGATCGCTCCTCGCTTCCTAGGCCCCAGTGTTCCCCGGCTCCCTGGCCCCCATTCTCCTTGGTTTCCCGTGCCAGTGTTTCCCCGACATCCACCTCTCCCTTCACTCCAGTCCCTCTACCCCCTTTTTCCATCAATAAACCTCCTTCTCTCAGAGTGCTGCGTTTGGGTCCTCTCTGTCCCCACACCACACCACCCTCATAACAGATATTGCAATATTCATGGATTGATGCATGACCCCCAGACCCATTCCAGGATTCCACTGACCGTAGAACTGTCCCTGCATGGTAATAAATAATAGCTCTGTTTACTAAAACAAGTTACTCTAAAATTCTCAGGAGTGAAAACGCATCACTGCATATTTATCTAAGCAAATATCCTGAGTTTGTTGCAGGTCCGGAACATCTGTTGAGCTACAGTTTTCAGGATGTCCCTCTGACGAACGGAGAATGTGGCACAAAAAAGTCAGAAGCAAGTCTGAGGACACTTGGGCCCGTCTATATGTTTTCAAAGATGAAAGAAAATACAGTAATAGTTGCAATATATAAAACAGCTGGACCAGCCCGCCTCTCTCTGCAAGTCAGATTGCACAGAAAGCTGCAGTAGTCTAAATGAAAACACATTTTCTATTTCCTATGTGTTGTGGTGTAGGCCCTTTGGCAGATGTTGCTCGATAGTGAAGCGCACCTGACCACTGTGTCTTCAGTCAACACCATACCTGCTTCTGCACATAAGTTAATTTTGTTATGTCAGGTGCAGTTTTGGTGTGGTCATGTCAGAAAGTCAATAAGGGTGTATGAGGGTGTATGTGTTCATTTCTTATCCATAGTCCTGGTAGGCTACCTGTTCCAAGAAGCAGGTTTGGCCTACTGATTTATTTGGAGACTCTGGTTAGTGACTTAATAACTTACAAGTACAAAAAGAGCAGTTTACTTCCTAATTATGTGTAGCTATTACATAACAACATTAAACGCAACACATTTAGGCTATAAACAGCCATAGTTGCAAACTTGCATTATGAAGTGGCTCTCACTAAGACATTTTAGGCTACTAACAATTGTAATTAGTTTCAGCCGATTAGTTATTCACGTCTTGTCCCACATCCACACTTATCCTCCATCACATTTCACAGTTCTGATCGCCACTTCCAAGTGAAGTCGTGTTTTGCCAGACATTGTATTGCTATTACATGTAAACAACATGTTTATCTCCAATGGCATGCAACTGTGGCACAGGTGCAACGTTGCCTCAGGAGAAATGAAAGAAAAGAAATAGCATATGCTTCAATATGAGCGTTAAACATACCAAAATCCATGCACACCTCAAACATGTTGCTTTCCTACCTTGCACTCCACCTAACCTTGTGAACCTAGTTATGTGTAGAAGCAGGTATAGTGTTCAGTGAAATTACAATAGTCAAGTGCGCTACATTATTGAGCAACACACCAAGAAAATGTCTAGTTACAGGTAGAGGCTCTAGTGTGGCTTATCAGTGGAGAGTCCTTAGAAACGGCCACTGCGCTCTGGTGGAATTTCTCAGAGGCTGCAGGGATTTCATGTACTGAAGGAGAAGCTGTGGGCAGCAGATGTGCCTACTGAATCACATCCAATCATTGACCAATGCAGACTGATGGCTTTTCTGTTGTTGCAGTACATTAGCAGAATTAGAGTAAACTACTAACATCCTTTTTTTCCCATTTTGGTCATAAAGAACTGGATGATTTGTGAGAGAAAGAGACTGTTTGTTGGGAAAATCACCGATGGCCATAACACAGACAAGCAGAAGACGCATGATGGGTGTGCAGAGGAGCGTGTCACCAGTCAGGAGGACGGATTCACTCCACATCTCTTTATCACATCGTACACTTAAACTCTGAGATCTCACCACACCCCATTTAAAGGAAAAAACACACTATTGGTTTTATATTAATTTGGTTTGTCATTTTCTCCTCAAACCTTGTTGAGTTTCCCAACTTACAGGACAGCATACGAGGAAAAGAAAAAACAAGAACTGAACCGACTAACAAACTGAATCTATCTCAGACTGTTTAGACTATAAGGGAGATTTGGTGGTGTATTTTGAGAACTTGTTAACCAATTGCACTTAAAAAAACAGAACTGTACCTCGTTCAGTGTTATTGTTAAATAAGTAAGCTAAGAAGCCGTTCTGGTATTTTCATTCTTCTACTCCTCCTTGAAAACAATCCAGGTTAAGCGCTGTGCATTCATCACTATGGAAGTGCTTACACAATACTGACACACAGGATGCAGAATTAACGGTCAACCTCTTATTCTCTCTCTATGGAAAAATACAGCCTTCCTAGAAAACAGCATCAAGGGATTAGGTTGAAGTGTTAGGTGTGCCGGCATGAGCCCTGCACTGATGCGCCACGCTGGACTTGACTTGCCTGACATGTAACTATTCATTATACTATATAAACTATAAAGTGTTAGGTGTAGTGTCAGACATTGCTCAATAGTGCAACTTAACACCACTTCTGCTTCTACATGTGACCACATTAATTTTGTTATGTCAGGTGTAGTGTTGGTGTGGCATACCTGTGCTTACACCATTAAGTGTAGTGAAGCACAGGCAATCGTGTTAATGTGTTAGCGTTACACCTAATTAAAAAGCACATCGCCTTCCCCACATGTGCATGACAGCTGTGTAGCCATTGTAAGTCTATGGACATTGTAGGTGTAATGTCAGAGATTGGTCAGATCGCAGATGTCTTGTCAGATGCTACTTAGGCATTTGAGGTACTGGATTGCATGTATATTGATATGTTCCACCCCTCATAAACAGTTATGCCTAACAGCACTGCTCCGACACAGTATTTATCAACATATCAGTCCTGCTGCCTTCAGTTGCTACAAGGATTTTGTGAACTGAAGAAGAGGCTTTTTCATACAGTTAAAAGCAGCTGTGGAATGCAGATTCTGTAATGATCATCCACATTCAATTAGGCCAATGCAGACTTGACTTTCCTGCTTTAACCACTGATTTTGGTTGGAGAGTGTTTAATTGAAAATATCCTTAAAATATTTTTATAACAATTCATCTGTTGTTGCAGAACCATTCCCAGCATCAGTATAAACTGCTAACATCATGTTTATGTGTTGTTTTCTCCTCATCCTGAGTTGGTTGAAGGTACGAGGGAAAGATACTGAGTTTCCCAACTTAAAGGACAGCATAGGGGGAAACAAACTGACTGACAAACTGACACCTATAAGTTCTGAGTAAGCTAAGATGGTGTTCTGGTATTTTCATTCCTCTACTCCTCCTTGGAAAGTACATAAGTGCTGTGCATCCATCACTCCATAGTGTGCTAAGGAAGTCCTTACACAATAATGACACACAGGGTGCAGAACAAACAGTTAATCTCTTTTTTTCTCTCTGTGTACAGCTTTCCTAGAAGACTTCACTGAGGGATTAAGTGGAAGTGTTTGGTGTTATGTCAGGTGTGGCAACATATTGCTTCACACCTGCTGGCGTCAACCCTACACAGTTACGCCACAATGGATGTGTTGAGAACAAACCCGCTTGACACCGTTCTTGATCATAAAAGTTTATTAAATCAAGGAGTTCAGCATCAATTACAAACTCTGCAGTAGCTTGGAGAGTGACCCAGCATATATAGGATATGTTTAGGTATCTGTTAGGTACCATAGAAGGGTTTGAGTCTGCAAAGTAAAAGGTCAAACCCATAGAAGGGTACAATACTATTTTGAGGTAACAAAACAAGGGGTTAGAGGTCAAATTTTATAGAAGGGTTCAGTCCCTACATAACCACCAATCACTGCTCTCCCCGTAGAAGGTCACTGACCCTCTGTCTTGCTGCTACAGTGCTATTTTGAACTGTTATGAGTCAAATGCATAAGTATTGGATACTACAGATGCGACACTGCCATTAGCTCGATAGTGCAGCATACATTACCACTGCGGCTTCAGTTAACACCACACCCGCTTCTAAATGTGACCAAGCTAATATTGTTATGTCAGGTGTTGGTGTGGTGAAAATGTGGTTTTGCAAGTCAGTGAGGGTGTATGTGTTCTTTTGTTATCCAGAGTCCTGGTTACAAGAAGCAGGTTTAGCTTACTGCTATGTATGGAGATCTTTGCTGCTTGAATAACTAATACAAACAGAGCAGTTTACTTCCTGATTATGTGAAGTTCTCACAAAAGCAATAGTAAAAGCAGCACACTACAGAGTTGCAAACGTGCATGATGAAGAGGCTCAGAGATCATACAGATATATATCTGATTATGGTCCTGATCTTCATTTCTTCTTCTGGTCCCAACAGAAAGTTAAGAGTTGTTAAATTTCATAGTTAATGCAGTTTTATATCTGTAACTTATTTTGATGTCATATTAATTTTAACAAGAAAAGAGCTAAAGTATAAAACTTGCTTCCTTTGAAGGCATCTGCATGTTGCTGTACAAACCTTAAACATTAGTTTGAGATTTTAACTTTAATAGAATTCCTAATGTGTTGTTAAAACAGTTCATAGTGAAAACCTCAGCAAAGTTAGTTTAGCTTGGACCAGTTAAGATAAGGGAATGGGAGAAGGATTTATTCCACACATGAATAACCACTGATCTCACAAGTGTTCAAGATATTGTGATGGTAAACAAACACATAAAACAAAAACATTAATGCATAAAACCTGTTGTCTTAAAGCAGGTCTGTTCTTGCATAAAATGTAAATCTTTTACAGGTCACCTGCTTGAGCAGGTTGGTGAGGTTCAGAGCACATCAACTTTATTGGTAAGCTGTGTGGAGTCATTTCTTAATCACAGGGTTGGATACAAAGGTCACCTAATTTTCTCCCAGTCTGTCACAAAGGTTCAGGATGCTGAAAACACCAGACGTGCTCCTTTTCTGCTGTGTTGTCGGGGCAGTGAATGCCTTGTACAAACAGTGGATTCCTGACAACAACTATGAGAATAAGATCAATTGGGACAAGGAAGCTGTTCCGTGTGGCAACGACATAGTTCAGTTTTCCGCCCAGAGACAAGTGTCTGTGTTTGTGGAGACCACACATGCTGTGCGTGAGATGAGGCTGCCAGCTGATGGAGAGTTCATACTGAATTCAGGAGCTGGATTTTACGTTGTGAGCAGACAAGAGGCAGACTGCGGAGCAGGTGTCATGACCCAGTTCAAAGATTCAGAGTCTCATCAGTGGTTTAACCCAGCTCTGTGGCAGGCGGCTGCAACTCTGGATGACCTGCAGCATGTAAAGGTATTATTCTCAGTCCATGAGGAGAGTGTCCCTTGCCAGTATGACGATGTGGTTTTTAAAGCCAGCTCTTCTTTCAGGGTGGACACCAGCTCCAGTAAATCCACCATTCCTGTCAAATCTGTGTCTGTGCTGGGGAGGATGTTTGATAGCAGATCTGAGTTCTCCCAGTATCTCAGCTCGCACTCGGGCCGGCTGCAGTTTCACGGATCCTCTGCTGTCACTGTTGGAAGCCCGGGCTGTGGGGATCCTTCTGGCTGTGACTGTGGGAATTCTGTAAACCATCAGTGGATCTGTAGCACTGTAACATGTGCCACTCTGAGCTGTAAGAACCCTATCCTCCCTGTAGGACACTGCTGTGATGTTTGTGGTGCCATTGTCACCATCCATTACACCGCTGCTTTCAACCTGCAAACTTACAGGCAACGAGTGCATCACCTATTTCTTGTCCTGCCACAATACAAATCCATGCAGCTGGGCATGTCTAAAGTCTTCAAATCACAGCGGTTGATGGGGATCGTCCCTTTTGGCACCTTACCTGAGATCCAGGTGGTTATCCAGGATGGAGAGGAGGGAACACAGTCAGACACTCTGGCCTGGGACATAGTGACAGATGCCCGTACTCATGGCTCCAACCTGGGAATCATTGGGGCTGAATTTCAAGCCTCCTCTGGGAGCAGCAGTAATCAATCTAGAGGCAGTGCTGGGATGGTGGTTGGAGTTGTGTTTGGAGTTTTAATTGTGATTACACTCATCATTGTTGTTGTTGTTCTGATTCATATGGGGATTGTTCAAGTACCATCACTGCCTTCGCTGCCATCTCTGAACATCTTAAGAAGGAACACTGATGTTGGAGAGCTTGGTGGCCCTCTTGATCGTGGCTTTGATAATCCCATATTTGACAACCTAAACATGCTTCCTGATATTCCCGGTCTGTGTAGGACTGAAACCAATAATTCAATCTCCTTGACTCAGACAGGTATACACTTTGTAAATCCAGTTTATGATGAGAATGAAACTGATTTTAATGCCTGAAATTGACGGCAATAAACAATAAATCATTATATACCTTTATAATAATTCATCAATGTAAGTAAACGTATAAAAACATGCTGACAGACACAGAGCTTTTAATTACCAACAAATAAAAGGAATTGCTGGCAGACAATTGTGTACTTTTGTCCTCATTTATATCACACTCATGAGCAGTAAGGTGCAATAAAACTGCAATAAATTACAAACAAACCTACTGCTGCACAGATATCTTACATTGTTGTTACCACTAGATGACATGTCTGTGAAAAAATCCCCCATATGTACCATAGCGTTATGTACCTAGTTATGTAACCTGAATAAATCTCCCTTTACACTGGCGCTCTTGTACATGACTCCTGCATATGCACTTTCCCTACTCAGCTCTGCTTCAAAATTGTGCCTCCCCAGGTAAAGGCTCTTTGAACTCATTGCCTGCTATCAATATTCAAAGCGACCAGGGTGTTGGTAAGCTTTCTGTTGTGCTCCATTACGCAAAGGATGATGATAGGCATAATGAGGGGTGGTGTCTGCGAAATAGGCCAAACTCCTTACATGTAGACTACAGGGAAATATAATTTGTGAATATTTCATAAGCCAAATGAACAGGTAAGGTTCAACAAACAGAAAATATAGAACATAATATATGGATATAAGTGTATTTACATTTCAAAAAGTCCTCTTGCGTCTCAGGAGGAAGACTGAGACTAGTTCACAGTTTACCATTTTACTGAGAGATTATTCAGTATTATGGGAAGACATGATTTCTACAATGTTTTGAATATTTGATCAATATAGGTTTAGAGCTGCGCAGAGAAAGATTGAATAACAATGCTATGAGTCTACAGCCATGCTAGCTGGGGGTCGCCAGAGTCATTTGGATTCATCATCTGGGGACCATAAATGTCTACAAAATTGAATTACAATCCATCTAATCATTGTTGAGATATTTCAGTCTGGAACAAAGTGGTGGACCAACCGACCTACCGCTAGCAAGATACAAAAATACATAAAAAGAGCACAAAGCAGGATACACTGAAGAAAGCTTGATGGAGGCAGTTTTCACCACGAGGAGCCAGAAGATGTAAGGTATAAGTATACAATATTATATACACTCACTTTTCCAAATCAAGTTCAGTTGATTTGAATACTGCCCCTCACACAGCCCCTGTGTAGCATCAGTCACTACTTGGTCCATGCAGTTGATGTGTCCAGTTAAGCAGACATAAATCTGCAGCTCATTTCTTCTAATCTAAGTATTCCTGGCACAAGCAAAACAAACATGTCTCAGGTAATATGATATGATATTAAGCTTTTAAATCACATGCAACTCCTTTTCTCTGATCCAGAATCTTTCTCTGAAACTGCTGAAATGCCTAAATGCCTGCTCTATGTATACTGTCAACACACTGGCATCCAAAATAAAGTATTTGTTTCAGAGAACATCTTGTGCTAATCCCAGATCACGTGAGATGTCTGATTGAAAGTGGTTCATGGCTACTGGGCCATTCTCTGTTTATTTATTATTATCTTAAATATTGCTTTGCTTCCTGCAGGTAGTCAACGTCAGACTTTCTCCTGGACAGTTCATTTCATTTAAATTTTTCATCACTCTGTTCTCCTCTACCAGCACAAACCTGCATCGGGTTTACAAAGATGCCATTACTGACAACTCTTATATTAATAATATGTAATATTTTGTCCTTTTGAAATTATAAAAGGGAAATAGTTTTTAAATTTTTTGATCACATTTGAAAAATATATAATATATCCAAAACTAAAACTAATTTCACTTCAGTTGTACTGTGTTGTGTTGTTAATACCTGAATTTGTGTGCGTGCCTCCACCACAGATGCAGTTGTGTTCCTTTCGTGCTCCTGAAACTAGACAGGTCAGGGCCTTGCTGTGGCCGTCCACACAAGAGTCACATTATATAACTTGTGGGGTTTCAGATGTCTCCATGGTTGGATTCCTCGGTTCCTCCTTGGCGAGTTGTGTTTACTCTCCTTTACATTCTCTTCATTGTTACCGCTGAGAGTTGCAATATTTGAGAGCGTTTCTCTAGTTACATAAAACCTGATTTGGTTGAGCTTCAAGTGATCACAAGAACTTCGCTGCACTTACAGTTGCTTTTTACTTCCTTGTCTGAGATCCAATGAAGAGATAGAGAGCATAAGGAAAGAAGTGAAAACCACACCTAAGGTATTTTGTTTTCAGCAAGCTGAAGCATTCTCATTTTTCACCCCTCCCCTGTTTTACTCTTTTTTTTGCCCTATATCTAACCTCACTAAGCTTAAGACCAAGCGGGAAGCTTCCGGTCTGATACACAAAGCCAATGCGGAAGTCCAGTAAATCTGCATTCTATCAAACAGCCAGCAGGAGGCGACTCTTCTGGTTGCAAAAAGAAGTCTGGTTCCATTAGAAAAAATGGTAAAAATGACCTTACTTTTCACCTGAATAATTACCTCAGTAACCACTTTCCTGATGGGTTTATGGTCTCAATCACTAGTTTCATGTCGTCTTCAGTTCAGGATGATGTTCATTTAGAAAAGTATGGTCCCATTTGGAGGCAAATAGACCATAAAAAAGAGTGTGCTTCAGGGCAGGATTATCCTTGATTGACAAGTCATTACCATGGTGACCTGTCAATCAGGCTAGAGTGACTCGTACCCAAATGTGTAAATTTAACCGGCGCCGTTGAAAAAGCTTATTAGGAGTTGGATGTTCACTTTCTTTGGTGAGTACATTTAGTTTTAAGACTGTTGTGCGCTAGACAAAATTGTCAACCCTGTTAAAATGAGTCAATGTGAATTACAGTTGCACCTAGCTAAGCAAGCTAGCCAGCCCCACACACGGCCGTCAGCTCCACTGTCTCATCCAAATATGGTCACGTCCGGTGCCGCTGGTTGCAAAAACTCAACATGGCGGTGCTCTATCGGCCAAACTCGAGGCTTCAAAACGGCAGTCCACAAACCAACTGATGATATTACGATGACTACTTTCACTTATTATATACAGTCTATGCTTAAGATTACAGAGAAGAGGAGAGGAAATGACAATGAACATCCTCAGTTTTATTCTGTCTGAGTGAATGACTTGGCTTGTTTACTGATTTTACTCTGGCAAAGCTGGGTTTAAACTTTATTTCAGCAATTATATTGAAAGGAAAACAGTTTGTGTCTGGATTCTGTCACCAGTAAGACAAATGAATGAATAAATACAGAGCTGCTAATAGACTCATATGGGAGAGTCTGAAAGTGTTTCTGTCTGATAACAATATTACGAGCAGAGCTTTCAGACAATGACTGTAATAAACGGTAGGGAATAGAGAAGATACACCTACACGTTCCTGGGGGTGAATCTCAATAGCAAACTGGTCTGGACTGACAACACTGAGGCACTCTACAGGAAAGGGCAGAACAGGCTGTTCTTCCTTCCCAAGAGGCTCAGGTCCTTCAATGTGTGCACCCAGCTGTAACAGATGTTCTACTTCTCATGTAGCAGTAGTAGTGTCATCTTCTCCACTGTGGTATGCCGCAGAGGTGGCATCGGGACTTGTGGCGCCAACAAACTGAGCAAGCTAGTGAAGAAGAACAGCTCAGTGGTGGGGATGGAGTTTGACAGTGTGGAGGCAGTGACTGAGATGAGGATGGGTGGGAAGCTGAAAGCCATCATGGAGAACCCCTCTCATCCTCTCATGCTGAGCTGAAGCAGCTCCAGAGCACCTTCAGCCAAAGATTAATCCAGCCCTGGGCCTCAGACCGCTTATAAGGCTCCTTTGTGCCATAAGCCATTAGACTCCACAAAGCCACAGCACCCAGCATCTCACATCTCCACTGATAGAGACCCCTAAACTGACAAGCGCAACTCTTTTTTTGCAAATGCACAATACCACGGAAACTTATCACATGTACAGATGTACACAGTGGATACCGTATTCTATTTTGATTTTACACAGTGTATATATTTTTATTTGATTATTAATTCTACTTTAATTGTGTTTTATACTTTCTTTCACTCTTTGCACTACATTCCCCTGTGCTGCTGTGCTTGAACTTCTGTGCAACTTGAATTTCCCCTATGGGGGATCAATAAAGGAATATCTTATCTTATCTACAGCACAACTTGACTGACACGTCTTTTGCGAGTCTCAGAGCAGCATGCAAGCGTTATCACAAGGGTTGAAGATGCCATCACTTATTTTCTGCACACACCAAAGTCACACCAAAGTCTTGGAAGAAGTGTAACGGGCACTGTATAATAAAACATGATTACATTCAAAGAGTGCATATTAGTTAAAATATGCATAAGTAGGAACTCAATCAATTACATGTTTGGTGTACTAAGGAGTGAGCATTCATTTACTTTATACCTTGGCTTTAGAAATGCATGTGCAAAACAGTAGCATGAGGTCAAATGTCAGGAGAGATTTGCTCAATTTTTTTTTTCTCAGTGTGACAATTCTGTTCCCAACCACATTGCTGTTTATATCAATGAACATGAGGTGAAGACTGCTGCAGAAGCCGCTAGACTGGCAGATCAGTATGTGATCGCACATAGGTGTAACCGTGACCACCTTGCTCGGGATAATGTTGGTTACAGGAGAGATAGCAGTAAGTTTTATTCAACAGGTAAATGGGAGGAAGGAACTGGTCCCTTGGGTAGGCCAGAACGGACTACACGGGGACAGATACAGTTTGACTTGACCAAAAAATTTAACTTCTGCAGAGGCAGGGGACACTGGAAGGCTGATTGTCCTAGGACTAGTGTTAGGCGTGGAAACAGTAGCCTGCCGGTTAAGCCTTTTGCATTTGCTGCTTCTGTTAAACATGTCAGTCCTGTCATTTCCTCCCTGTCAGCAGGTGGATGCTGGAGAGAAGTGGAGCTTGGAGGACTCAGACTTCTCAGATTTTGTGTCTGATGACTGTGTGTCGCTAGTGTGGAATGATGTCACCGTACCGGTAAAAATTTTGAGAGATACTGGGGTTTTTCATTTATGCTCTGTGTTGACTGTGTTGACTATGTTAATGGTTTCCGGCACCAGTTGGATGCTGCTGGGGAGATGGCTGCAGAGAAGCTGACCTCCTCATAAGGGAAAATGAAGCGCCTGTATGATCGTAAAGGCGAGCATTGCCA